AAGCCTCCGGCAGAGTCTGAGGAAATTATGGATCGGTTAAATAGAACGGAAGATTTGGAAGAAACTGGAACAAAACCGTTCGAAGATTTTACACCGGATAAAGAGAGTGCAATAATATCAAAAGAACTCACTACAGAATTAGTACATGTAACTGATATGAAGCCTCCGGCAGAGTCTGAGGAAATTATGGATCGGTTAAATAGAACGGAAGATTTGGAAGAAACTGAAACAAAATCGTTCCAAGATTTTATGCTGGATCGAGAAGAATATGGTGCAGTAATGTCTAAGGAACTGACTACAGAGGGAGAAGATACTGAAACGAAAGCTTTGACAGAATCAGAACTTGAGGATCGGTCAAGTTGGACGGAAGCTTTGGTAGAAACTGAAATAAAACCGTTCGAAGATTTTATACCGAGCAGAGAGGCTGTCAGTGAGTACGGTATCTTAGTGTCTGAATTTGCATTGACTGAAGAAAAACCTATTTCATCTCGAAATTTGATGTATGAAGTTCCAATACAAACTGATGAACTCATGAAACAATGTGGAGACATGCACGTGACAAATTCTGAAAGTAAACATTTCCAAACTAGACTGATGAGGTTTTCGAGGGATGCAGCAACGGCAGCGGAAGGTACAGGAACAGCGCCTATTGTTCTCGCAAGATTGCGAGTATCAAAGGTCTGTGATAGTGTTTCTGGAGGTGGTGAGATTTCTCATGGTAGAAGTATCCAAATGGTTAGTGAAAGAGCTTCGTCTGAGACTATACGAGACGAACTAGAATGGATGCAATCTCAAGCTAATGGTTTGAATGAAGGGAAGACTTCCGTACAGTGCGAGGATAGCGTTGGAGGAAACGCACATTTAGAACTATTAACAAAAGATGTTCTTACAAAGGAGCACCAAATTCCACTTGCTGCTGAAGTATCCACAACAGAACGTTTGATACAGGAATATGCTGAATATGATATGGTACCAACCACAGAAGAGGAAACTAGATCTCCTGCGGTATACAAAACATTATTTGAACATGAAATTTTGCAACCACGAGCAGAAGTACAACATCAATTTCTCACAAAAAAAGTTCCCGAGAAAATAGAAACAAAGCCATTCAAGAATGTGATGCCAGAGTATCATCTCCAAAACTACGATGTCGCAGTAGCCAAAGAAAAAATTACAAGAGAAAGCGAAGAATTTTTCAAAAAGAACAGATATCCTGGAAATGCGGCTTCAGTAGAGATGTTTAGAAAAGATCTGGAAAGAACCGAAGCCCAAAAATTCAAAGATATTTTGCAGCAGGAATGTCGTGCTTCACTACTTAAAAAATTAGTAACGGAGGAAGAACTTATGGTACTTCATGAAAAGGAGCAAAAAACATTTTTTGGGCAAAAATGCTCGGTAACACAAGCGGAAGAAAAGAAGCACATACCTCTCGAAGGGAAGCAATCCATCATAACTCCATTAAGTTTGTACGGAACAAGAGAATCTGAAGAAAGTGTATGCATGTTACAAAAAGAGATTATGAACCAGCAATCAGAGATGGGACATTCTGAAGGATCTGAAGTAAAACTGTTCGAGGGAAGAGTTTCAAAGAATGCAGAATCTGAAGGGGTAGTATTTGAGACAGCAATACCTGAAGAATTTGTAGAAGAGGTGGGAATAGCCAAGAAACAGGCAACAATGGAGAGTGATAAGCAGGATGGGGTTGGATTCGCTGAAGAAGTTATCAAAGAACAGGTCGTAGAGGACTCCCTAACAGATATTTTTAGTTCTTGGAAATATAAGCAGATTGAATTTTCCAGAGAAGCTTCTAGTGATATGGATGGAGTGAAAGAAAGTGCTAGGGATGACGAAGCATTTTTGCGTTCACCGGAAATACAATCTGAAGTAGAAGATAGACAACGGACTACTGAGTTTGCAGCAGCGAAAGGGAAGGAAAAATGTACAGACACGAAAACATTGCCAAGAGACGTGTTGATTTCAAGTGAAATTTCGTTTGCAGATGTGGTAGTTGGTCATCCGGCACATGGAGTAAATGATATGACTGGAACTGAGGCGGAACAATTGAGAACAAAAGACAGAGATTTGCAGAAAATGGGTAAGTTAATATCTAGTCTGACAACAGAACGGCTGCCGACGGAACTGAGTGAGGAAGAAATCATGCCACAGCAAATGCGGGAATCTTTATCCAAAATACAAGAGGGTATGGAAAAGCTGCCAGAATATCAATTGAAACAAAACATCGTCTGCAAAGGAGTGACGCTAGTTGGAGGAACTGAAAAGATGGAAGGGTGGAGTCCGTCCAGGTTTTACTCAGTTACTCCATTCGAGCAGTCTAGATCACTATCACCAAAGGAGAAAGAATTTGCGAAAAAACAAGAGATGGAAGTGTTTTGCGAACCTAGTCTATTTTTGAATCAGATTCAGGAATGCAAGAATATCATAACAGATGTGGGATATAATAAGACAAATAGGGATGTACATCTGGAGGCTAGAAAAGAATTAGATACAGATCAACGGTGGATAGATGAGAAAAAACATTTGAGGTTTCCAGAGGGAAGTGAAACGGTTGCTAGAGAAATTTTGGCATCTGGTACATTCACCATCCGTGACACAGCAAAAGCTGGTGATCACGATGTAAAAAACGATATAGGAGAGACATCGATCGAACAATTTCCTGATACAGATTATCAGTTTACACCGCCAAAAGCTACTAAGCAGTGTGATGAAGCTGCTATAATGCGAGAAATGGTGGCAGAGGAACGAATTCTCGGAAAAGAAACCGATTACAATCCAATGGAAAATCTAAATAAACCAGTACAAAAAGATGAAGAGGAGGATATAGATAGCAAGGGAACAATTGAACCTTATGCAGTCGAAACTTATTTGGATCAGAAAGGTTTGGTCAAATTGGATGGACCTGAATCAGAAACAAGCACAACAAAACAAGCGAAGACACAGGACAAACTGAGTTATCCAGCCATGGATTTGCCATCTGCAGTTGATCAAACTGCTAATTTTATTTCTCCAGGTGTGCAAATGGATATTTCACTTCTGGAAAATTTGTACAGGGTATCCGAAAATAGTTGTAGGGATCAAGTCTTGATAGAAAGCCTTCGTGAAGGTATGCAGGTAAAGACATCTTTTAAAGAAGATATACAGGAAGAGGTGCCAGAAAATAATGAAGTTCAACCAATGGTACCATCGGATGAAGTGGAAGGGAGAGTGACAGTTAAGACTGGATTGACAGATAGTAAAAAGATTAATTTTGATGGACTGACGTCAGAAGGGGAAACGTCGTACGAAGTTGACTTGGACGGAATAGGTCATCTAATTATGATTGACGAAAAAATAAAACCTTTCTGTGCTGAAGCTGAACATCCTTATGAACTGACTGTTGATATATCATGGACTCCGGAAGATGAAGGTATTGATGCGGAAACAGGACTAGAAAAACAGAAATTCTCCTACGCAGAGCAAGTGATAACGTACCCGAGCGACGATATGATTAATGCTGCAATGAAGGAAGAAAGAGTAACTGGAAGTATAACAAAAGAAAACGAGGAGCTAAGCAATAAGATAAATCGCGATGGTGATAAAAGCTTCCCAATGTTTGAGACTATCCAATGGCAAAAGCTAACGGACGGATCTGAAGTAACTTCAGGAAAGCTGAAAACGAATGAACTGATAGAGGAATCAGCAGTGAAAACCGAAAAAGTAGCATTTGAGCATGATAAGGAACACGAAAAGCAATTCATAATTGAAGTACTTGGAGAGGATAAAGGAGATAGTGAATCATTTTTGACACATCGTTTTCAACCAAAGAAATATGTCATAAAGTCTTCTGAAATCACGGTCGTTGGGTCGACGACCCTACAAAAATGGCTGAGAGATGGGAAAGAAAATCAAGAAGAGTTCATCATTCAGGGGCAACAAATATCAGAGCTAACCAGAGACGAAAAATTTGAAGGAAATGTTGATGCAAAAGCATTCGAAATGATGGATCGTGATCAGAAAGAATTTGCAAAGAAATTAGTAACCGTGGAAAGTGAACAGGAATTAACTGAAGGGCTACAAATGGTTCAAAACCTTGAAGAACTAAAAATTGACAGTGGCGATGATATAACGGTGCCCCAACAATCTTTTGATGCTGAAAGTGATGAGAAAAAGTTGTTCTCAATAAAAGAACCTCCTGAGCAGTTGACTGCTAAACATGATCTGATGACCTCATTTGAAGAAGGCAAACTGGAAGATGTTCGCATAGCATCAGAGGGATTTCTAGATACTGTGGAAATTCGTCCAACAATTCCTCAGCAAAGCGAAGATAATCACGTTTTAGAAAAGGGATCTGATAGGCAACAGTCTGCTGAATTTTCGTTAAGCGGTGAAAATGAAGTGCGAAAAGAAGAGGAATCATTATGTTACTCTGAAGAACAGGACATGTTCTCTATGATACAAGAAGTAACCTCGACAGGGAAAGAATCCTTCAAGGAAGATCTTTCTGATCCTGCTAAAACAACTGAAAGTGCAGCAGCAGTTGTTCTTGCAGCTTCAGAAGCTTTAGCAATTTTTGGGTCTATAGAAACAGTTCAGGTGGTCGAGGATCAGAAAAGTTTTCTCAGGAGTGCTTCATCTGATGCTTTCGATAGCAGTATGGAGAAAAGAAAAGATGGTGAAAAGATGTCTCATTGTGAAGAATCAGAAAAGCGCATAAATTCCTCAATTATTTCAAGCACAGAAGCTTTTGTAGAACTAAATGATGCAAAAGTAATTTACGGCGAAATAAGTGATGCGCCTTGGCAACAAGCAAAAGGCAGGCAAAGCGAAGAAACTGTTTCAGGAAAACAATTGGAATTAGCGGCAAAAGAATGTACTGATGAAGTGGCAAATGAACAAAAGGTAACTCTTCTGAGTGTTTTGGACAGATATCCTTCTGAACAACAAGAGTGCCACAAGTTTACATTGTCAAGGAAGAAAGAGACAGAAGAGGATGCATCTCCCCCTTCCTTTTCGTCGATGTTCCCTACCAATGCAGGGAACACTCAAACTGAATCAATGCAAGAGGTGCAAAAAAGAATTGAATCACTAGAAGTAATTGCAGTTGTTCCTCAGCAAAGGATTGAAGAGACTGTTATTAATAAATTTAGTCTTCCAGCAAAAGGACAATATCGGGAAACAAAAGAGGATGTATGTGAATTGGGGAGCGTAAGAGATGATGATAAAAGAGGGAAAGTAAAAGCGATAGCTGAACCTACTTCGGAGCCTGTTTCTGAAGAATCGCTAACGTTAACAGAAGCGCCATTATCGAAGCAAAAGACTGGCAATGGATCATCTGAAATGGATGAGAAAGCAAAAATTGCCCGTGGCATCGATCTCCAAGCGAATGCGAAACATTTAATTAGCGAAAGCATGGGAAAACTAGACCAAACAGCGAGCAGAAGCAGCAGTAACTATAACATAGATCCCTCAATTAGAAAACATAGCTTTAGTGAATCACGGCCTAGCGAGGAAAAAGTCACTGCTGGAATGAGTGTATCTCAAGTTCAATATGAACATAAAGCAGATTATGGATCCGATTTAAAAGAGAAATTGGAAACGCTTATAGAAGAGACGAACAAGTTAAAACGACACGCAGAAGGATGCAATTTATTAAAAGATGATGAAAAGAATGAGGAAGAGCTTGATATACAGGCAACAGTAATGGCTGATGACAACGTGAAGCCAGCGGAAAGCTTATCGCGCAGTGAATCCACCTATAAAACGGCTACGGCTACATCAAGGGATGGGTATGAGACATGTCTTACATCCCAGGAGGATACTTTCGAAACGGCTCCTAGCTGTCATTCCCAGGAATCTGAATACACTACAGCAACTAGTGAAGCTAGCAGTAGATTGTCAGTTATGAGTGAGGAGCGTCAAGAAAGTGCTACACCGCTTGCATTTCTCTCACCAGTACAGTCTGATCGTCTTTTTACTGCATCTCAGGATGAGGAACAAGAACCAAACAGGCAAGAAGATAGAGTTATTGATTCGAAACGTTCTAGCCCAGATGTGCCTGATATTGAACTTGTATCTGTCGAAGATGAAGATGATATGGAAGAAGACATGCTACTAAGAACTGCTGGTGGTATTCTTCTCGCTCCAGATCTGGATCCGGAACGACCTGTTTCCCCCATTCCTCCGGGTTTCAGTGACGAAGATGAAGGTATTGCCGCTGTTGCTATTGCATCTGATTGCTCCAGAAAAGTTGCTGATCAAGCTCGCCAAGCGGAAATCAAAATTCTGGACTCCATTGTAGAAGCTTCAGGAGACGATGTCCTTGCTGACGAAATATTTCCGTCGTGGAAACAAGAAATGCCTGATTCTACAATCTTTCAAGAATCAATGCATGAAAAAGCAATGGATTTTGGAAAAGAATATTCCCAACAGAATATTCTCAAATATTCAGATCTATCTGTTGGAAATAAAATCAGTATTTTTCATACAACCGAAAAAATTGAAGGTGTCGCTTTACCCTCCGAAGCAGTTTTATATACCGGATCTGATTCATTGGATTCTCTTGATAAGATATCAATCAAAAGCGGGAGCAGTGGTAAGAAATATAGCACGTCACGTCGAAGCAGCACTAGCTCTCGAAAAAGTTCGCACGATGAGCCGCAAACATTTGTTGAACGACTGACACCGGAGTTGAAAATGTCATGGGTAGAAAAGGATCAGGAAATGGAATCGGTTAAACAGTCCTCATCGTCGTCGTCTGAGGAATATCCAACGTATATATCGGAAAGCGAGCAAGTAAACACGGTGGAAGCAGAACTAGAGACGGTGGACGAAGAACCGGAAGAAGTGGATTCGCTGAATGGAAGAAGCGTATCTTCAAATGGCCAGGGAACAGATATCAGCATGACAGTTGGGAAATACAAAACAGTTTCAAGCGACAATGTCTCTGAAACGAGTTTGCAGGAATTTGAGCGAATCGAGCGGGATGTACTGAACAAGGGTGAATCAAGTCTTAGTGGGAGTGAAGTTGAATTGTACGTAGCCGGAAAATTGAAGAGGGCTGATGGATCAACAAATTCCTTGGCCGAATTTGAACGACTGGAGCAAGAGGTCGTAGCCGAAGGTTCCCCACAAGATGAAGTAATGATCCTATCCGATATACGTGAAGAATCGGAGGTCGAAGAGATGAGTATAAGAGACGATGACGAAGAACATGATTCCATTTCAGATATAAAAGCAATACCAGTTGAGGAAGACATCCAAGCGGCAACACCATTAGCTTCACCAACTGATAGCATCGAAAGAAATTTTGAAAATTTTGTTCCGGAACCAATGGGAACGAGCACTGATTCTTTAGAAATTAATGTCCGATCAGTACATACAGAGAGCGATTTGGGTGCTGAAAGTTATTTAACTGAATATGAAGTCATTGAAAAAGTACATGAAGAGATGCATGATTCTCTTGAAATAATTCCTCAGGACAAGGATTCTATGCTACAAGGAGTCAGTGTACAGGAAATAAGCCAAGACAGGCAAGCACTATTGAGTGGTGATGATATGAGTACATACCAAAGAGATCAGGAAGAAGAGAAAGATTCGTTAATTGGTGATGTTGACACTATGCTCCATGATTATCCGACCACGCTAACAACGTTTGAAACTGTGCAAATCAACGAAGATGGTTCTAAAGAAATAATCTCAAGAAGGGTTCTAACCCGTGTCACTGATCCAGTTATTAGTCACGTACAGTTTACTGGAACCGAAAATGAGCATCGCTTACGCGATCTGGAACGTGAAGAAGAATTTGAAACGGTGGATGTAGAAGGCAACGTTACGCGAACAACACTTCATCGCAGTGTTCCTTCATCATCTGCAGGTACTTTATTTTAAATATTCCATATTTTGTCAAATGTTCCTGCATGCAGTTTCATGAAACATGCACGTGTTCGTTAACATTCATGTATGATATCTGTTATCAAAGTTCATCACCGACCCTTTAGACAGAGAATTTTAAGTCATAAATTGTTTTTATTTCCAAATTTGTCCGAGCTGTTGCTTACATCCTATTTAAGTTATGCTATTTAAGCATAAGTACAATGTGGAAAAGATAATTAAGATCCTGTTGGATATTAGCATAATTTTATGATATTATGTTCATAATGAAGTGGCATCTTAGACAAATATAAACGCAAGTTTGCAAAAAAAGAGTGAAAATATGAGAATATATGAAGAATTTGTATGAATTTTTACACAATAAAATTTGTATGAATTCATATATGTAATTGCTCTATGAAGAATTGGATCGAATTTCTTTATTAAAGCGATAAGCTGAGCGCGACTTTAGTAATTTTCACCTCAATTCATTATGTTTCATTTCGAACTTTTTATTCTAGCTGACCAGTTATCTTTCGAAAACAGTTTACATCATAGTCCCACTTTCGAGTGTAGGCGATGAGACAGAATGAAAGAGTTATGGTTGGTTTCATATGCAATTAATAAAACTACAAAACATATATTTGTCCCTCTTTATACCGCATCACTTTGTTCACAATTCCAAAAGATCTGGATTTCAATTTGTGAAGGTTTGGTAATTTCATTTGTGTTTCGTCTGCTTTTACTTATTCTTTTCCTATTCAAGTTATAATTTGAGTGTATTTATCGCTATCAATATTATACCGGGCAAGAGAACAATAAACATAAATTTAGATTGTTGCTATCCATCATACTAGCTAATGTTAAAATTACATCTCTTTTCTTATTTTGAACTTTCGAAAAGAGCTAACTGCTTTCCCTAAAGTAATTATGAATAACTATAATTAATAATTATGGATAACGATTACCACTTTTTTTCGAAGCTGATTTTTTTCCATAATTTTTAAACAACAAAAATCTTACTTATTTTGATTAATGTCCTTAATTTCACTGATTTCGCCTTTTATTGTTGAGTCAGCTGATTTAAAAGTTTTAGCCAAGATGCCCTATTGATTCCTGTTGTTCTAAATGCTACATCAAGTTCGGATCATAGATATATTAGTAAATATTAAATATTTAGTTCGGATAATAGATATATTAAATATTTGTCGGAGAACTGAGGATACTGCGATTTTTCGAAAGAGTAACGACATTTGTATACTTCGACCTTTTGTCTATCTGGTCATTTTATTATTTTATTTTGTTTCAGGTACTTCACATCCAGCTCATCGTGGTTGATTTCATCAGCATTCAAACGAGATTATTTATTTATCAGCCTAATTTTTGCTTTTTCTCGAATTACTTTGCTGTTCTTTTTTCGATACCCTTCCTTTGGTGGCTTGTGTCAGACTGGCAATATTGTTTTTAAACTTAGCTTTATTCACTGATGTTGTGTTTCTCAACACATTTAAACTGTATTATGATCGGGTTACAAAAGAAATCAAGTTTAATATATTCTTGTAATTTTAAATCTACCAACTGATAATGTTCCAAGCATTCATGTAGTAGCTGTGCAACCAGCATTTGTTAGGGTACGATATATTAGATTATTCACGTTAGACAGTTCCAACTGTTCCTTGGAATATTTTATCACTTTTCCAGATGACACTGTGTAAAAACAATGATAAATATCACTCTACGTACTCTTCCTTATTAGTCATGCCTAGATTTTCTTTAGCATCTTAAAAATGAATTCTAGATCGCATTTTTATTGAGAATAAAATTCGAAGCAGTATGATTAACGAACATTTGGTGCAGTCGAAAGGAACGGTCGGTGTATTTATACAGCAATTCTTCTGAAGTTTTCCGCATCTGACAGTAGGTGATGCTTGGTTCTGTTATTAATTACTGAACATTAAGTAGATATTTCAAAGTTTTAAAAGATTTGTGCCCCTACTTTATTGTTGGCAACTGTTCCCAAGAGGCACCTTACTAAAGGTGCAACAAAAGGATTTTTTGGCTTTTGGCTAGGCTGATCAAAAATAAGTATGCAAAAAATTGTGAGCTAATTATCATAATCATACTTCTGGTTGTATTGTGATACCGATGAAACGTATAGCTTTGTCGCGTTCTCATTGTCACTTTGTTTATATCATAAAATGGCTTTTGACGCCGTATTTACAGTTTATCTAATAGTTTTGAAGAATACGAGAATATGCAACTTAGTTTATTTTATGCACAACAAATCATATCGTCAATTTCATAGGTTACCTAACAATTTTTCCTTCCTAATCTTACCGACCTGGAAAATATGTGTTTTTGATTCCCGACAGTGGGACCTGACTGTTAGTAAATCAATAATGAATAGAGTGTATTCCATATCGGTTAGGCCGATACGCGTATAGACTGTGAGATGGCTAGGTCGATATGTATGTGTAAGACATCTTCTACTAACAACGGTTCGTTGAGCCAAATTTGTAAGGGAAAATTGATGAGGGTAGGATATAAGTTAGCATGCAACTGCTGCTGGAACCCTTTGTTCCATACATTGGAATTCTCACTCTCTCACTGTGTGTGCATTTATTCTCCTCCTCTCTTCTGCTTGAAGTTCTCATCCATCACTGTCGATATTTACTGTCACCAGCAGAAAGGCGACCTACCAAAAAATGACAGGGTGGTCAATGCCACCCGAACTATTTCATCTATCACCAATAGAAACGGTCGAAATTACAGAGAAACTTAATGAGTGATTATAAACCACCGAATCATAAAGCTGGGTTTTTGAAAAAGGTCTCGAATTAAAAAATTCCAACGAAAGGTAACAATGGAAGGAGTAACTATCTGATTCGTGTCACCAAACAACTAAATGCACAATCACTGTAAGTAACTCAAACAGTGGGCAAAATTACTTTTTTAATAGCTGAGAAAAAATCTTCAGCCTGTCAAAATTTGTAAAGAGTTCCCTAAATGGATACCGGATTAAATTTTATTTGAAACAAAGTAATAGCCAAGGTCTCTTAAATGAAATAAGAGTGACCTGTTATAACCTAAAAATGTGTTCAACTTGTTCAACGTCTTTATTAAGCATAACGTCCAGAAATTAAATGCAATAAGTGCCACAACAGTGGTAATGAAAGAAATGAATTTTTTGACTGCATTTTATCAGTGCAGCAGAGATTACACAGAATATGTTTTTCCTGCAATGCCCGCGATATCTGCGATGGCTAACAGAGAATGTGCTGGATTAGGGAAGTGATAACTTGATGTTTCAGGCAGAAATTCTATATTATTTAAGAATACATTACACTGCTGACACCATATATGATAATTTTTTCGTGTAGTATTGTGTGATTAAAATATTATAAAGTTGAAGGAAGAAGTATTAGGAGTAAATGAGAACATCAAGAATAGACCTATTCGCAGAACGTTTATAGTTTCTTGTAAGCAGAGTCACTGCTGATCGACTTCCTGTCATTGTCATCGTAGTTGTACAACGTCGATGTTGCTTTGTGTTCTTTGCTCCGGTGATGCATGATGTTGGATCGTCGAGCTGGACATGGACAGTACTAAAAATAAGTAATTGATCTCTTTTAAAAGTTGTTTCGAAAGAACAATGACCAAAGGCAATATTGCAGCTAAAAATATGTTTCAATTCCGAGATTAGTTGAATTCAGGACAAAAAAGGGTACCTCGGCATCTTTTCCAGGCCTTCCTTCATCGCCTTCAGATCCCGTTGGTCCTTGAGGACCAGGTGGGCCAGCAGGCCCAGAATTTCCTGGTGGACCTTGCGGACCAGCTTTACCAGTTTGTCCCTCAGCACCTTTTTCTCCAGGTGGTCCTGCTGGTCCTAATGGTCCCCTTGATCCTCTCAAACCAGGACGGCCAACTAAATGATGCATGTCTGAACCTTTAGAGCCTGGCGGACCCATTTCACCATCTTTACCTGAAAATGGGCTCCTGTAAATTGTAGTGTTATCAATTTTGACTATAAAAGTGAATGAATTCAACTATTGACTAAACTTTCAGGGATGAGATGCCCAAAACTCATTGAAGAATATACCCCAACGATAATTTTTTGTGTATAATACTGAATAAAATACCCCATCAATTTTTGGGACGTATGATTAATTAGCTAACAGTTCATTTCATTTCCACAAAACTATTATTACATTTACCTACAGATCCTGCCGTTCCAGGTTCACCAGGTGGTCCTGGTTGTCCATTTCTCCCAGGAACTCCGTTTCGACCTTTTGCTCCTGCGATTCCTCTTAAGCCCGGCTTTCCAACCGCTCCTGGAATTCCAGGCAGCCCTCGAGGACAGTAGTAGCATGGCGCTTCATTGTGAAGCGGTGACATATTTTCAGCATCCTTGCCAGGTTGACCATTAGTGCCAGGTATACCATTTAATCCAGCATGTCCCGGTGGACCCTTAGGGCCTGGTAATCCAGCTGGACATGAGTTTTCTCTAGCACATTCTGTAATGATACCCTGATTGATTGATAAAAAATTGTGTTAAGAGCAAATACGATTTGTCGTTAAATTCAGGATGCGATATTGGAATAATTTTGAGGTTTATATCCTGTGAATGAAAAGTAATTGCACCAATCTTAGCAAATCTTTCATATTTTATTGTTGCAGAACTACTGCTAATTTTACTTGTCAACTGTCCACATCTTTTTTTTGCAGCTGTTTTCTGATCAATAGCAATATGGAGTTCAATATCGCAGATATTCCAGCTACCTTGTAGGTTATAGATGGTACTTCAAGTACACAATAACCTTAGAGGAGGGAAGATTAAAAGATAAAGTGGATATGTGATTTTCTCCATAAATGAGGAAGTAATCTAACCTTTTCAATTCTCTGAATGTTGCACAACATCAAACTGGTCTATAAAAATCTCGAAGACAACTAAAAATCGGACTTGAATGTAAATGAAATCACTGAAATTAAACTTGCTGCAAATATCGGATAATTGCGGTCCACTTGGCGGAAAACCTTTTGCTCTCTGCTTGCCATCTATATTGCGAAGGACTGAACCGGTAACCGGCTTGAAAAACTGATCTACTCCTTTGGAAGGTGAAACAGAAGAACTGGATTTAAGGGAATCGCGCCAGTTGTCACTTTTACCAGTAGTTGGTGGTGCTTTGCTGTGGGAGGTTTCTGAAATAATGAAATGAAAATAAATTATTATCTGGCAAGTGCTACACTGCGTGATTTCTATCTGGACTGATTGTTTCTGTTTATGACTTAAAATTAAAACTATACATAAATTGCCTTTTTTTACATAAATTGTAATTGTACGTAAATTGCCATTTTCAGTTGTGAAGTTTTGAAAGCCTAAAAAGGACAGCCATTCAGACATTATTATTAAGGAAAATGAGGAAAAAAAAGAACATAGTGGTGTTTTTTTTACAAGTAATAACTTTCCTAATCATTCATCCATAGAAGACGAAAGTGGTATGTTTAAAAATTGTACAAAATACCAAACAGCTAATCATGCATTCCGTTTAAAAGATGAAAAGTTTTTTCTCCTGGAAATTGATTATTGTACTACTGACATTTTCCGGCATGTCTATGATGATAAGTAATATTCGAAATTAATCCCGCCCTGTTCTCTGCGTGCAAAGAGAGAAGTGTTTCATAGTAATGAATGCTGAAAATTCATGCGAAGCAAATGAACAGCAGTTGAAGTTGATGGACTTAGAGGGAGAGAAAGCCTTCCATATAGTTGCGCATCTTAGTTTTATATGAAATAGTTTTAAGAGACAGAAAACTTTCAATCTGTATTATATAAAATGATACAATGCGAACATTGAATGAGATCCAACCAAAAATCCGTTCTTGCTTTTTTAAGTTCTAACATGATGGTTTGAAATCACAGTTGCTTACTTTCATGTCAAATCATTCTCTACTTTGTTGTTCCTTTTCTCCCGGTGTCAGCAGGAAAACTGTGGAAGGATAAAGTTATCTTGCTACTATTTTAACCGGTTAAGAATCATGTAATAAGACAGCTTTATAATATGCAACTGTAAATAGGTTAACAGTTGCAATGTTCAGTAACCGAAATGCTGGAATATACTTGCTGTTGGTGACGAATCTATTTAACAATTCCGATACTATTTTTGGAGTGAGCAAACTTCTCACTCAAAGACGTGGTCATCAGTTGGAAGATTGTTATGCTAAAATCGCGTAAAAAAAAAAATCTCAGGGAACATTTGGAATGAATGATAAACAGTTATATCAGAGACTTACCAGTGAGCTGATCTCCATATTGATGAGTACTTTCTAAATCCTTCCCATCGCGCCGTCTTCGGCGCAGTTTTGAAGGATTTTGCCCAAGTATTACCAGGTCATCCCATAAATCATCAGTGATCACCTATAAAGCACTTCAGAATCTTGTTTTCTAAGACGAAAGTCGATAATATGTGAGAAAGATAAAAAAAAAGGAGCAAAGACTTCACGATATAACATGACTGTTAAAAACATTCAAGTAACTGAAATCAGTTTGAAAAGCTCAAGACGGGAGTAAAAGAAAGTACTTTGAAGTAATGCATTTCAGTATCCAGTGATCTGTAAGCGTCCTGAACATCCTGCTTAATATACACCATTGCAATAAGGCATACAAACAGCACAAAACCGCTCAATGCAGAAGCCGTAAAAGTTATAGGATGGACGCGAAACATCTTTGCTAAATACACTGTCTCCAAATAATGATTCCTTATATTTGGATTTTCTAATGGGCGGGTATATTATTAGGTCAACAATCAGTGAAGGTTGGCGACAGAGCGTCGAATCGGCAGTTCTATATGGCCGCTTTTCGGTGATATCTTTATTTTTATAAAATTATGTTGCATTTTATCATCGCTTTTAATACTATAGCTCCAACTAAAGATGTAATGAACTCTGCTTGGAAATAATACACACATTATTGAAGTTTGAGTAAGCGGAAGTAAGCAAGTAAGTGATCGTGAAATCTTTTTTTAAAATCATTTTGTATATTACTGCTACTTTCTTTATATATTTTTTTCTTCAAAATTGTGCTTCCAGTCTCGGGTTTCCTTTTCTTTCAAATTAGTAACACACAGTCAGGCAGATTTAACTTTTTCAGGAAAGTAATTCCAAAATAGACATTGTTTAGTATCAAAGCATTTATTCCACATAAGAAGCTGGATCTCTCCGGTGATTGTGGTATGTTCAATATATATATATATATATATATATATTGAACATACCACAATCACCGGAGAGAAACGGATATTACGGGAAAAAAAAAGACTGTTATTGCTTATCATTCTGATTTACCGTCACTTCTCACCTTGTCTTGATAAACACTGGTAAACTTTAGATCAACAATTTCTAGCCCACGAAATTCGACAAAACTAGAAATTTCGTGTTATCAGATGTACGGCACAGAGGGTGAAATGTGATATTGAGTAGTTAAATTCCAATAAAGACATGGATTAGTTGGTTGTTTTCATCTCTGTTTTAAAGTTACTGCTACATCGTAGATTTTAGTACATGAGGAAGTGCTTCATTTTAATTGATAATAAAACTCCAATTGCAAATACAGTAGGATTGGTGTTATTATACATTGAAAAACGATGGCATTTCTTGACTCATTTTATAAAATATCTGTAGAGAATGTTAACTGCATCGCGTACGAATAAAATGATAAATTCAATGATGTATCTCTGGAAAGAAATGAGATTACAGTAAGGTGTATAATAAGTTGTTTTAATAGTCTCCCTATAAAAAACCAAAAGATGAGTAACTCGATCAGTACATTTATCATTTTGACTATTACGTTTTTGCTCAGCTTCGATACCATTACTGGTCGTAATATATATCCAAGAAGTCCATAAAAAAATTGCTAAAATAGTTGGTAAGTTCACATTGATGAAAGTGTCATTGCTCTCTCTCTCTCTCTCTCTCTCTCTCTATCTCTCCTTATCACTTATCCCATCCATTCAAACTACTTCACATTCCTGCACCATTTAGAACAATTATCCTTTGAGTCAGCCGACAACTTGCTGTGTCACCCACATTGTAGAAACACAAAGAATTGTCATACACCTTAATGACATCTGCAACATTTTGATGCATTTTATTCTCTACGAGGGCATATGATGTCTCACAAAAACCAACCAACCATTCATTCTAAATTTAAGGGGAAAAAGGAGAAAGTGATGAGCTGAATTGTTGGGATGGATCAATAGTAACATTCTTCCTCCAACATTGACAGATTCGCCATCTCGATCGAAACAGGCAATATTTCTTTCATATGGAAGAACTCTTATAACTTCTACAACTTCTCAAAGAAGCTATTTGGCGATGAATAATCTAAAATCATACTGCAATATACGGTCGGTGGGACTTTCACTAGTAAACACGCAATTGACGGGATATTGAAATGAATAACATTACAACTTGTGAAGTTTTTCCTGGCTTCCGTATCTCGTGAAAACCATTTTTGGTACTTTTATTATTTAATATTCAAGGTTTTGCATCTAAGCTTATATTACGACAATCTCATCTTTGCGCTCCTTCTGATGAGGACATTTAAACTGCTCAACAGTACTAAAGAAGTTTAGGAATAATCGCCTTTCCGGGTCTGGTCTTTCCTTAAACTTTGTCTCCACAATCTTAAAAGAGAGGTGGGGAAGTAAAACTTGTTAAACTTTTGAAGGGACCAAATGCCTTAAATTTTTTTGCTAGAGATCAAGCTACCTACCTAGTCACAAAATCTAATGCTCTTAATTGATCCCCCGTAACATGGATATTGTCAAAGAATTTGGAAAAAGCAGCCGCGTAAGTTAATATTAGCAAAATGGGTAAGCGAAAAAATCTATCCATATTTTCTATAACTTCTATAAAAGCACATTACATTTCGGAGAACTCCAGAAACAAGTTTTCCTACCAGCCCATTTTGGAATCCAAATTTATTTGGATAGGAAAATAACTGGCTGCAACAGAAAAGACGATTTATATTTGCCCTGTGACATCAATATAAACTAGAAGAGTTATCAAATAAAACTCTTTAACTGGCGAGATTTCAAATATGGTTTTTGTTCTCTTCTGTAATCCTTAATAATTCTAATTTCTAGGCTGTAGAGGTCATTTAATGATCAAATGTTAGGAATGAAGAAAAATGACAAAGAAAGACAAATTTGAAATTAAGAACAGAGGAGCAGAAATGCCCATGCTCCCACGAACCTATGGGCAAACTGCTTGTGAATGATTTGTCACTCCTGAGAGTATGAATAAGGAAAGAAACACTGAGCAAAGTGTCAACCATGCTGGGTAAGTTTGAAGATTTAGGTAAAGGAGATCGTTTTAAGTCGTCAGGAAATTAACGGAAGAATTTGAGTCCAATGTTGCAAAGAGATGTCACGTAGAGTTTTAGTGGTGCGTCACTGCTAATTAAACTAGGTGTAGATCACTGGATCCCACATAACAGAAGTCATAGATATGACAAAAAACAAATAGCATTGAGAAAAGTAAGGAAATACCGTAGTAATCACCCGAAAGGTTAATTAGATTGAATGATAGCCAAGTAAGAGTGGAACTTATTACCATACAAACCATCATTCTGCAACAAAAACAATCATTAAGATGCACCCAATGAAACAAGACACTTAAACCATTGTCCACTACAGTCTACTACAATCCATCACCTCATTATCACTTCTTTCACCTGTGTTTTCGTCTTATTCTTCTCTATCTAATCTAAAAAGCGATCCAGATCATCCCACTTGTCGCTAATAACATGATGAGCAGATAATTATTGCTCCATATCCCAAAGTAACAAGGCCTTGGAGAAGCATATTACCTGTTTGATCTGGATCTTCGATATCGCAGTCTTTGCTCACTTTCTTTTAGGAGGAACTGCTGTTCTTTTCGTTTTTCAATCTATCAAGTAGAAGGCATCGATGCAATGGATGATTCCTTATATGATGTGAAACAGTATGGAAAGTAAGTAGGAAAGGGTAACAAAGAACATACGGATGGATAATGACGTTACATATCCAACAGTCCAAATGCTAACCACAATGAAAAATGTTCGTTCGAATGTATCTGTAAAGCGTTCATAAATTGAAAGTGATGAGAGAAAGATGAAAATATGTCCTAATCCAACTACCATTTCCGCATTCTTTCAAAGAAATAAAATTCGAGCCAATATTTTATGTGAGCAAACAAAATATTTCCATAACATCCAGACTCGACGATATATAATATATGACTTTATCCGGTATATGAGTTAAAGTCAGTGGAACATTTCAGATTAAGTTCTTCCTTAATTCTTACTGGTTCGAATTATTTCCGCATGGGAAACATCTGATTTATGCTATAATAAAATTTTTTTGATTCGATAAATGTTCCGCATGAGAACATTTATAGAATTAAAGGAATTTTATTCAAAAACTCTCCTTCTGAATTGTAGAATAGTTTTTAAACACTTCGAACAAATTACGAAAGGTACTTCTGTCTTCGAGAATCCTTTTTCAACTTTAACTAATAAAAACAATGATCGTTTTTCTTTTCGGTAATAAAACGATCTTGCTATTGTTTGCCAATTATCCACTAATTTATACTTAGGTTAACATTAAAACAAAACAATTGAAATACCTCATCTCTTTGCTCGGAAATAAAACCAACAGTAAGCGGTTAATTGCAGCTGCAGTAAATGTAAAACTGGAAAACAATATGCTGCCTCCTGGAGCATTTGAAGGGTATTATTATAAGCTTTTATGAACAAGGCAGTAATTTATTTGGCTGTGTTTAAATAAAAGAACTTTCTAGGGAACTGCTTGGACAACTGTATTAAAATGCACTGTACCAGATCATTTTAATAAAAGATGAAAAAAGTGAAGGATTATTGCTACTTGGGAAAGTCCGATAAATTTGCAGAAAACAAGCAGGAATATCAAGTTTCTGGTGAATATGTTCACTGTCGTCACTGCAGCAACTGTGAAAGATACAATTACATCACTTACTGACAAACTGCCAATGTTGTTTATATTGATAATGAGACCTGCAATGCATTTCACTTTATACCACTTATTGATGAACCACTAATAAGAGCGTTTATTCATTAAATTATTTTTTCAACTTTTACGAGGGTCAGGTGATTATGGTGAGACAAAAGTGGCACAAAATCAATCCGAAACACTAAATTATCTTAAAATGTAATGTTTCGGACTGACTTATCTAATATTTGTCTTCATAAATATTGAAAAATCCACATTCTTATGTACATCACTTGACAGTCTAACTTTGCAGATACAGAAATCCGATTTGCCAAAACATTGTCAGTCTAATTTTTAAAAAAAAAGGACAATAAATAAAGCAAACAGCATGAGCTGTTACTGGTACTATTAGTGAGTTACGATAATCAGCAAAGGTTAAGTAATTTCAGTTTCTTGGAGGGATTCTCAGACAAACAAAAATAAGCTGCTATGTAACTAGTTTGCTTGTTCCTAAAGCCAACTTCTGGTAAAGCTTGAAGAACAAATGGTCTGTTTAGACCTAAAGTACTGCTCTAAAAATGTGGTACATAGGGAATCCTTTATCAACAGCAACAGCCACTTTGCGAGGACTTAAATAAAGTCCTTTGCAAGGACTTAAATAAATTTTTATGGATGCCTTCAAACCGAATGTTGCAAAGCAGCAAATAAAAGCAATT